ATCTTCTCGCTTTACTTCTAGTATTTCCTCATATACATAAAAAAAATTTATTCCTTTTCATTTTTTATTTGAAACTTTTAATTTCAGCGCTTCTCAACTTTTCAGGAAATGAAACTCACCTTGCTCATAGAGATATACATGAGATAAATCACCCACAATTGCTTCCGAGCCACGCTGTTGACAGTGCACCATACCTGAAAAGTATAAAAGTGGCAAGATAAGAATATGATATACTATGTATGTATGTAGATCAATGTATGCGTATGTATGTGTGTGTGCAAAGGTATGTATGAATTTGCGAAGGGAACATAAATTTGTTGATTTTCTGGCGAAATTTTAGAAGTAAGCAAGCACCAGAAGGATACACCTGCAAATGCAGACCCACATTAACAATCACACTCACTTGCAAGTTTGCACACCTGTAGTTATACATACATATATGTAGGTATGTAGTAAGCATATCTACATTTAGTGGCATGTGGCGAGCGTACACACTCAGTGTGAAGGTTCAGAAACCATGAAAGTGAATTACATTCCTTGGCGCCAACAGCATCAGAAGCTACAGCCACTACAACCATTACAGCAATTCCAACAAAAGCATTGCAGGCTGCATTCTGTTAAGCGAAGGTCTACTTGAAATTTATAAAGAAATATCACTTTAGAGCGAGGCGTTAAAATTCCCTGTTTGAAATATTTATATGCGGTATGTGGTTTTAAGTGCTTATGGAATTAGAGCGCAATGGCAATTTTAAGTAATAATTTCTTTGATTACTTACATACAATATACATATGTACTATACATATGCCCTGCACTTATGGCTTGGTGACGACAACATTGTGTTTGCTCGAAAAAGGTGTGCCTTTTTTGATATGGATAAAGGGTATCTACGTAACTTAAATATTATTTGATCTAATAAATCAGAAGCCTCATAACTACTTACATACTAAGCATAAATTATTAATTTAGTTTAAATGCCAGGAACGAATAAGTACACTGAAGATGGCAAAACGTCGAAACCGGTTTGTCTCCAAACACAAATTTGACCAGGAATGACGTCCCACAATACATCGTATTGTGGCTTACCACCATCAACTCAGTACTATTCAAGCTCAACGCGGGAGGAATAAAAGTGCTGGCCTATGCTGACGACATCATAGGTGGAGCTCTAGGGAAGATAAGCGCGCAAAACTCCCTTGCCTTAACGCCACAAATAATGTCAGGTACATAAGCGCATATTTGGATGGGAAATCACCCGTCCAATGGAAAGACTTAACAAGCCTCGGAATACGCACTAAAAATCTCTCATCATACCCGTCGTTTTATATGTCGCAGAAACATGGATGATATATAACAGGGATGAGAAGGCTTTGGAGACTTGCGAGGCATTTTTTTTCATTTAAGATATATGGCGTTGGCGGCAAGTACCGAGTACGGTGTAATGACGAACTGTACGAGCTTTTCAACGAGATGGACATACATATGTAGGTAAACGTATAAAAATGCAGCTTGAGCAGGTTGCCCGCACCGATGACAATGCTGCGGTGAAAATATCCTTAAACTCGGCACCCATGGGTATAAAATGAAAGAATGGGCGCGCCCGAGCACAACGGAAGGACCAAGTGCAGAAGCACTTATCTGCACTAGAGATGTACAACTGACGCAACCTCGCAAAGGCGAGAGGCAGTGAAGTTTTTTGGCCTCGGGCCACAAACCGACGAACGGTTGTAGCGCCAAACATGGAAAAGAAGAAGAACATCAAATGTTGACGTTTGATTCAACGTTGACATTATAAATAATGTCAGTCTGGAAATATCTCTAAGCAATTGATGTTCAGAGCCATCTCGCGACAAAAATATATCAGGCTCTTATCAAAATGAAAATGCTTTGGAATCTTTCGAGAGAACTATTCTACGCAAGATCTATGGCCCTGTAGGCAAGCGGGACTTTTGCAAAGCAATTGGTATGCGAAGCCCAAATTACAAAATTAACATTTTTTTATGTCGACTTTTTTCTCTTAAATATGTAGTGAAAGTTTGTTTTCGATTGAAGTATGCCTCCGAACGGAATTGTTTTTTTTTTTTTTTTTTGTTAGGAGAAACTTCTTCTTAGAAGTACGCTTGGAAGTCTACCATTACCTGCTGTGGGGCTAACGTATTACAAATACAAAGTATGAGTGCATGTTTTTTAAATGGAGGAAAATGCGTAGAGAATAAAAAATAAATTTTAGCTTGTGAGTATTTAAAAAAGATGTGGTGTATCAAGAACTTTGCTGTAAAATGTAAACAGTTAACGGGAGCTTCATCGTAAACGTTCTTTTTATTTTATAATAACATTTTACATTTTATTATTTAGAATGCAATCTTGCGATTTAAAAATCTAATTTAAAAGAATTTTATTCCCAAATAAACCCTTTTTATAATATTTCGACTTGAAGTCGGCTTTTAAAGACCGCCCTCCGAAAAAACAAATAACATAAATATAATTTTGATCACTTTATCATGCGTTCTGAAACCCAGTTTCGTCAACCCTATTTTCGAAATGATATAGCCGACAAATTTTTAAAATTATCCTATTTAATATTTTTGAGTGGAATTATGAAATCTTCTGCTTAAAAAAAAAAATTACTTCTAGTGATCAGGTAGCATGAATTTGATTAAGTGCAATAATTTTATCAAAAGTCAAATGGTTAACAACAACAACGAGTGTCATTAAATAGAACTACCTTCCCTTTTGTATTATGTTACTAACTTTGAATTACGCAAGGAATTTAGTGGTTTAACGTGAATACGAAGTTTTATGTATAGGTTGAAATTCTTTCTTACATAAGTCAACTTAGTGTGTCATTCCTTATGATATACATCCATACATACACACATGCATATATGTGCGGATAATCGATTGAATACTCACATGCTAACAAATTTCCCATAGTGCCGCTGGGTACAAAAAGGCCTGCCTCCTTTTCTAATAACTTAGCCGCTTTCTCCTCTAAGGCATTTACAGTTGGATCCTCGCCATAAACATCATCACCAACAACTGCTTCGAACATGGCCTTGCGCATTTCTGGAGTTGGCACACTCACGGTATCCGAACGTAAATCGATCACGTATTCAGTCATATTTATTTAATCGGTTAACCAATAAACCCGAAATTCTTTTGTTCTTTGCAGATCTGTGGACAATTAAATAACATTATATAAAATGCAGTAGAAATACTAATTTCTTAGTAATATATAGCGCACGTTTAATAATATGGAGTTGTAACTCAAAATTTACATTTTTGGAGATTCCATTATGCAATTAATAAACTTGATAAGTAGAATTTGTCCAGTTTAATAGATAACTAAACTTCCCAAACATGGCGAAGTTATGTGTCTTTCCATCTGTCCTTTTGTATAACAACTGTATGAATTGATAAAACTTTGATTGCGTTTTCCCACAAAATTTAAATTTTGAAATATTTCGTTTTATTAGTAAACGTGCGATATCTGCAGCATATATTCATAAAATTAAAGTAAAAATTTTTTCAATAAGCATTCAGGTAAGTTAGTTAAGCAAGTCCATAATACTATGTTCAAATAAAACGGCCTCGAGCTCAATATAAATTGTTGAATACAATAGGCCAAAAAAATAACAAAACAAATAACTCAATAATAAATATATTTGCCATAAATTCGCATATATTTACATACATATCGTATTTATTTACACAGTTTCTAAGAACATTCGGTGAAATTTGTTTATGAAACTCTATTGGCTTTTCCTACAAAAACTGATATGTTTTTTCCATTTCGTAGGTTGGTAGGCTTGACTACATTTTAGTAGGTTCCTTGACAATGAGTAATCGCTATTTGCGAAACATAGAAAATCATAATATCTCTAAACTTTTAGTAACCTTTTTTACACGAATTATCGTATACCTGATTCCTAAGTACACATGTATTTATGTATTTATACCCCCATTATTGCCAAAATACAATATGAACATCCATATATACTTAATGGCGTACTTGGACCAAGATTCCAGCAAAGTCCGTCAATGGGCTCGTACACAAACATTTTCCAGGCGGAGGTCTTCGCAATCAAAGTCTGTGTTCGCGACTGTCATCGTAGAAGGCAAATGGTGCCAGAGTAAGTATTATGTCAGATATTGAGATAGCGTTAAAGGCCTTAGACTCTTTTAAAATGGTATCAAGGCTTGTGAACTCTTGAACCACCAAAGAGCCCTCACTAGCGTAACGCGGTGGTGTGTGCAACATGAAAGGTTTGAAGGCAACGAAAGGGCTGACTGTCTCGCAAAGCGTGGGGCCCAAATGCTCTTTTATGGTCCCGAGCTATTCTGCAGTACATCTAAAGGATACATTGCAGAACTACTTAAAAGCTAGCTGGGAATAATCTCAAATTGCTACCTGCTGGCGGAAATCAAAGGAAATAAGACAATCAAAGAGATTCGTAATTCCTTCTAGGAGGAATTCCGAAAGACTCCTAGAATATAGAATTGAATTAAGTGGGTCTTTCTTTAGAGAGGGACTGTAGGTTTTGTGGGCTGGTGGAGGAAACCCCAGAGTATACTATATGTGCCTACCCACGAAGAATGAATCGTAGATTGATACATCTTGGAGAACGATTTTCTTCTCCATCTAGAATTGGGAGCATGGCATCAGCGTTGCCAATTTTGGTACTTTCGTAGGTTTTGGTTGGATATGGTAAGAAATTTTGGTAGGAAAAAAATTTTGTCTGTGGCAACACTGCCTCTTACCGCAAATTTCACTTAATACTTGAATACAAAAATATAAAAATATTTGAATAGCAAAATAACAGAGCGTAATCAAACGCGGCCGCTGTGACGTAGTGATTAGCCGGGCGTATTACCACTACGCAGGGCCTGGGTTCAAGCGGGGTCAACCCAACATCAAGAAATAAAAACCAAAAAAGCATTTTTTCTAATAGCGGTCGCCCGTCGGCAGGCAATGGCAAACCTCCAAATGTATTTCTGCCCTGAAAGAAAGCTTCTCATAAAAATACAATCGCCGTTCGGAGTCGGCGTAAAACTGTAGGTCCCTCCGCTTTGTGTGACAACATCAAGGCGCACGCCACAAGTCGGAGGAGAAGCTCGGCTAAAACACTAACATACGTGTAAGCGCCAATCTATTATTAATCAAATGCCATTACTTGTCATCGATGAAGCAACGATGCACAATGTACATATTCCATTCGCTTATGGATATGTGTTGTAAATTGCATTAATATTGGTTGCAGTGGTATTTTTTGTTTTTTGTGTTTTGAGAAAAAACCAATATATTTATTTATTTGTTCTGGAACTTTCGATTTTGGATGTTTCGATTAAATCGCGAAAATTTCCAATGTCAATGTCAACAAAAAAAAGTATATATTAAAAATTACTGCGCACTGGACTACTTTGAACAGTCAATTCCAGTTTGGTACCACTGT